GATGAGGAAGACTAAGGTTCTTTTTTCCGTTACAACTGCTGTGGGTGCCAGACTGAGGGCTGGATTCGACCGTGGACTTTGTGGCGTGAACACAAGCTGGTAACTTGCCTGTGATCATAGCTATGCTTTAGGTCTTCTTAAATCTGTAACATTATGTAATGGTCCCTTTGTGTTGTGCGCTCCTGGATTTTGTCTGTTGCCAGCGTTGCCACGACCCCTACTGGGACATTCATTCAGAACTTAGCATTTGGCAAACATCTGAATACCTACCTCCTGCCAGCCGTTAGTGTGTGACTTAGTTGCCTGGCCTGGGAGCGATGTTGGCAGAGGATAAGTAAATTGGATCACAAGACATTCTAGATTGCCTGAAAAGTGGGTCATCCATACTGAAGTTCAGTATGGTAAGTGGTCCTGTATTCTGTATTCTAAGCCAGCCCCGTCTAGTGTAATTCTCCATGATGATGGGATGTCTGTATCTCTGCTCTCTGATACAGCAGCCACAAGCCACATGTGTCTGTCGAGCATTTGAAATATGGCTAGTGTGACCGAAGAACTGAAATTTTAATCTAAATAGCAACATGTGAATAGTGGATTATTATATTGGACAGCACAAGTCTAAGGTATATAGCTGGTGTCTGTAGCTTAACTATTATTTCAGAAGGAAATTTAGGGCTTGCCGCGTCCAGCTAGTGGTAAATCCTGCCACATCCAGCGCGGCCCTGGAAAATAAACCTGAGTGGGAACGATGGGAGATTGAGAAAAGAAAGAAGGCAGCGGGGATCCAGAGGCCCTATCATCTTCTCATGGCCTTCAGCTTGTTTACCTGCCTGCGGCTATGTTTATACTTTCTTGTTCTCTGGAGGAATCTGTGGAGGATTTGTGGAGGTGAAGTAACCCTTGGTGGCCTTCGCAGTTTGCAAGGACCTTGTCAGCTTACAAACCTCTCTCCACAACTACAAACCGCTCTCCACAAGGGCTTGAAGGGATCTTAAGAAATAATCCACTTATTATAAGTATATTATCCTTAAAAATAGTTTTTCACTTTTACATACTCTTTAAATGCTTCTGGTTTGGAAAGACATCTGGCTAACGGCTCTTACCAGCTTCACCCAGCATCCTGGTAAAATTTCTGAAACTCAGAAAAACAGTATCAGATATGTCGGGCATCCTAGTGGCAAAGATTGGATCCAACTCTTTGCTAACAATAAAACAGCTGCTATTAAAATGAAATGATTTTAAAAATCAGTGGCTTCCAATTAAGAGATTGAGACCATTAGAAAACATGTAGGAAGATACTTTGTACCTGCTGTCTATCCCGACAAGGACCTGTGGTCTTGTCTTCCTCTGTCTAAACTCCAACGGTGCTGATCTGTTGCATGGCCATAGTACTTTTCCCCTAGATTTCACTCACCCATCCTTCTCACCCCTAAGTTTTCCTTTCAGAAATAATGATGCCCAGAAAATAGCTGGGCAGAAAATTTGGACACTAGTTCTTTGCTTTCTGGAAGTCAAAATCCCTACCTGTGATTGGCAAAAGAATACATGGATCAGTGGGACAGAACAGAGTCCAGAAATAGATCTATACAAATACAATCAACTGGTTTTTGACAAAGGGGTAGGAGGTTGAATAGTTAAAGCACGAGATTTTTTTAGGGTGGTCAAAGTATTCTGTATGATACTGTCATGGTATGATACGTGCCGCTAGACAGGCATTTGTCAAAACCTGTAGAACTTTACAGAGCGAACCTTAGTGTATGCAGATACAGCAGGTCAGGTGATCCCTGGATGGAACGCAGACTGGCAGACCAATCTGATAGCCTGACCGAAGGGCATAGGGGAGAAAAGATGCTGAGCTGCCTAACTTGGAAGTAGTGGAGAC